AAAAAATAAAAGAATGAATCCTAATTGACAGAAAGTACACGATAAGTCTACGAAAACAGACTGGCAAATAAACTACAAAACATCCACACAACAGAGTGACAGCAAATAATAACCAGTATACAAGAAGTTGCAGAAGAGTCTATAGAGAAACAAAAAATTAATATAAACGCCACCAACCACACTAAATGAGTTTGTGAACAAATAAGGGAACTTGCAGAAATAAAAAGGAAAAGGTACCTATCTTATAACAAGAGAGCAACGTATGATACACATACAAGCAAGAAACAGATCCAACAAAGGTATCAAAGCCATCAAGAATATTATAGATGGTTCATAAGTAACATACACTACGATCTCTATGAGGCACACAAAAAAGTCTGAAAGATGCTAAGGAACAGAAAGAAGCCAGTAAATGAATACGTGGAAACAAAAGTATCCCTCCGGATATCTGGGTGAGCCAATTTAACGATTATAGTGTGCTGAGGAAAGAACTGAAATACATTATGAAACAGATGAAAAAATATCAATACCTCTATTGGTATTGATATTTATTGACATTTGATGATATTTATAACTAGCAGTGAAAATAAGTAACCTGAAAAACAGAAAAGCAGCCGGAGCAGGTAACATTTACTGCAATCACGATCTCAAACCAAAAACAGAAATTGACAAATTTAACACACCAACAGGTCTAAGAGAAACATCACTTTTCGTAAAGATAACAGAGGATAATATAACAACCGACAAAACAAAATTGTTGATGATCTGTCTCCATAGAAAAATAAATATAAATATATATATATAGAAGCATTACTCCCCACTATTTTTTCGGTCAAATTGATTTCAACGCCTCTAGTGGTCTGTGGTACCTACTACTTTTAATAAAGCGCGAAATTTAAAAGTATTTTTATTCAGTTAATGGTTATTAATTATTGATTTCAAACTTCCACCAGTCAACATGAAAATGATAACAGTAAAGGTATCATTTTCATGTTGACTGGTGAAAATTTGAATTTTGTTTTCACTTCGTTTTGTCTGCAACAAAACGCATGCACTTTCGACTCTTCAGAGTACCACGAGAAAAAATGAAAGGAATTTTGGCGTAATGTCATCAATAGACATTAC